AAAGAAGTGTCCCTGATAGAGAGGGACAATCCAGAATACAACCACATGTGCACATTCTTTACTTTGTTTCTGTAGTGAGCTAAAGTACATTTAATTTATTATTTTATTTGTTTTGGGTGTGCAGTTTGCTGACTGAAGCTGATGCTGGTCACACTGAGTTTACTGATGAAGTATATGAAAACGAGAGTCGCTATCCTGGTGGGGAATGGAAAGCAGCTGAAGAGAGTTTCACAGATGTGGTGAGACTTATATTTTTACTGGATAAGTAAAGGTTTAAGGGAAGGAGTTCTGTGTTTTGCCACTCTATTAATGCACATAACTTTGTTTCCCCTACATAAAAGAATGGAGAAAAAGCTCCTCCACCACGTGAGTTCACATGTCCTCTTGGATGGATGTGGGAAGATGATGCTTGGAAATCTGATTTAAACCGAGCAGTGGATGAACATGGTAAGATTTACTGGTTACCTGGCAGTCTGTCATAGTTGATACTGAATGAGGACACATGTCAAGACTGTACCAATGCCCTGAGCATGACAGTGGTTACCCTATGGAAAAATATCAAGGAAATATTTGGAAAACAGCTGCTTAAGGAATCAGAAAAAAGCAACATTGAGAAAGTGTTCACTATCTGCATCTCTATTTCCCTTTAATCACTGTTCCATCAAACTCACCATTCTCATTGATCCCTTGGATCAAAAGGGACCAGAATTTTGCACAGGGTATGTAATAAATGCATTTGTAAGTGCCTCCAGAGGATCATGTAGTCTAAGAAGCTGTACATTGGTCTTAACTGTAGCAGCAGAGGACAATTTTGAGACAAAAGCGTTGACAACTTAAAAAAAATGAAGGCTAATGCAAACTAAAATCTATGAACATGAGAGGTTTCAGTTGGGAAAGCTGTGTGTGCCAACAATGAGCTTGGAAACAGAACTCATCCTTGTTTGACCTAAGTTTCCAAAACATTTTTCCCAAGTCCATTGTTAATGCTGTCCAATGGTTAGAAGTGGGTCTGTATGACATGGATTAGTAACAGTAATTGAGGTTTTTTTAGAAAAGTCAGAAGCTTGAGACCTGAAACTTCTGTAATTGCACCAAGAATATGTGACAAGGTGAGGTTTGGATCTATCCCTGGTAATCTACCTGGGAGAATTTAGCCATGGAATGAGTCACCAAACAATGCTAAGAAGTAAATGAGGAGTTGTGGGGACTAAAGGAAGTGAGGAACCTGTTTGTGTTCATCACACACCACCCAAGTGTGTGGAGGATTCCACTATTGCTGAGAGCAGAACAACTGCGCTGAATTTGTGTGGGATCAGGATGAAAAGTTGACAGTATGCAACTGATTATTAGGCAATTCTGAATTGCAGAAAGACTTCCAAGTCTTTCTGTGAAGAATCTGGTGCTGCTAGACAGTTTTTCAGATTCGATGTTACTACTAACCTGATCAGGCTAGAAAATCCTAAGTCACCGTATTTCCTGGAGTTGCTTTGACTTTCACTTTCTTGTTACTTACAGTAAATTAAAACTGTTACCAGCTTAGAAAGCTGTGATATAAACAACCTCATAAGACCATAATTTGAATTCTACAGCAATAGGGAAAAGAATTCAATGGCTTATAGCAAATTATTTACAGGACATTTATTTGATGGTTTCAAAGCAAAATGAATAATAAAAACAAAAGGGAAGAACATAGGAGATTCTGTAACTCCCCAGAATTTTGCAAATCTATAGTGAATTTTTATTTGTTCTAAAACAACTGAAAACTCTCAAATAGTTACTGCTTTTAAATATAAGTAGGAATTGAGTAGGAAAAAAATCTGGTATTTTTCTGAGAGTACTGATATCTATTTTAACTGGAACCTCTGTCAGGAGTCTGTAGTAATTAAATAAGAGATCAATTTAAATTAAAGCCTGAGTCCTAGATACTTGGCATTTGAATTATAATACATAGAGCCAAAATACAGAAACGAGTTCTGTGATCAGACTTCAAATAGTTGGTGTTTCTTTTAGTGCCAACCTGGTGAAGTTTCAGGAGTACACAGGACATTCCAATCTTATTTAAAATTAGGATGAGTTTTTGCTGTGGTGAAGTATGAAAATGTACTATCAATGCACCTAACATTTGAAAAAATGAGCGTGCAAAGAAAAGAACGTGAAACGTATTGTATCTCTTTTAATGTTGAGATTTTTATGAGCATAGCAGCAGCATAAAATGTTACCAGTTGCCTCTAGCTATTGGACATTTAGAGTCTGCAATGCTGAATAGTCTTGTGTGATAAAGCTTCATCCTCTGTAGGTAAAGCCACTCTATTTCCCATGGTTTTCTTCTTTGTATCTTGCTTGTGTCTCTGAAAATGTGCCAACATGTGGATTCTGTTTTAGGATGGGAATATGGAATTACTATTCCTCCAGACACTAAACCCAAGTCATGGGTTGCTGCAGAGAAAATGTACCACACACATCGACGACGAAGATTGGTGCGGAAGCGTAGGAGGGATTCAGCTGAAGCAGTAACAGCAGGAAGAGTAAGTAGAAGAGAGATCATAGAATCACAGAATTTTAGGGGTTGAAATAGACCTTAGAGATCATCCAGGCCCAACCCCCTGCCCTGGGCAGGGTCACCTCTCACCAGAACAGGTTGCTCAAAGCTTCATCCAGCCTGGCTTTGAACACTGCCAGAGTTGGGGCAGCCATAGCCTCCCTGGGCAACCTGTGCCAGTGTCTCACTACCCGCACAGGAAAAAACTTCTTTCTAACATCTAGCCTAACTTTCCCCTCTTTCAATGTGTACCCATTACCCCTTGTCCTGTCACTGCAGCTCTTAACTGCAGTCCCTTCTCCAGCTGGAGCCCCTGACTCATTCCCCCCTCCCGACCATCATCATCCACAGACCCCTCATCCACAGAGGTCCTCCAGCCTCACCTTTCTCAGCCTGTCTTTGTAGGGGAGATGCTCCTGTCCTCTTATCAGCTTTGTGGCCACCTCTGGACTTGTTCCAACAGTTCCATGTCCTCCTTACATCAGAGACTTGCATATTGTAATAGTCTGAGTTTGTTTTTTTCAAAGAAATGTGCATGACATTACTCATTCCTCGAGCAAAGAAAAAATGTGATATCAAGCCAAAAAAATCTAGAACCTTTTATGTTTTCATTTTATTGCTTTTCTTTATCTTTTTGTAAATCGATGTTTCCAGCTTTGGTTTATGAGGGGATGATTAGGTCTGTCAGAGCAAGCGCTGCTTTATTTTATTACAGTTATACAAAACTTTGGATAACAGGGATTTATGTCTTCTAGGGAGTATCATATGAAGATCAAGAAGGATGGGAATATGCTTCCTTGATTGGCTGGAAATTTCACTGGAAACAACGCAGCTCTGACACTTTCCGCCGCAGACGATGGAGACGAAAAATGGCTCCTTCAGAGACACATGGTGCTGCAGCTATCTTTAAACTCGAAGGTGCTTTGGTAAGGGACAAGGCAACAAGTCTTTTAGAGGTCAATCTGTTAATTCACAGTAAATAAATAAGTATATCAGCCATTTCAGTCCCTGAATTGTTAGGCTGATACACAACTGAGAAACTAATACAGTTTTTATTGTTTAAATTATTTATAGTCTGAAAAGGAACATTAAATTTGGAGTAGAATTTTGTGTCATGTGCTTATGACTTTATTTTTCACATTATTTTTATTATTTCATTACATGAGTTTCAGAGCAAAAGGCCAAATTATTGGATGAGCCTTCTGTAAGTAAAGTGAAAAGATAGCTCAAGTTTTACATGCATGTAAATTAGACATATAAACAGCAGGCTCTGGAATAGCTGCTCCTGGTTAATATTTGCATGTATAAACAACCAAACACAAGAAAGGAGGGCAAAGCCACAATGTTGTACATCACAAATAGATCACCAGAATGTGATTCTTCAAGTTTCCAGGTTAACACAGCTTCACACATAAGCTCTATTTACCCAAATGCAAATGGTAGCAAATAATGTGATAAGACTGCTTTGTTTTTATAAGATTAATAGTAGCATTAACAAAAACTTGCACTTTTTTCCTGGTTTGGATCTCTTTTTGTTGCATCAAATGTTGACTAAGGATTCATTGATAGCATTTTCTTTCTCCACTTAATTTGGTTCCACAGAGTTTAATAATTCCTGTTTCAGTTTCTCGTCTGACTATACTTCCTGGGCTATTGCTGGGGTGAAGCCTTAGAGCAGTTCTCTGCAGCAGAGGACGTGCAGCTTCTCCTTTAGTGCGAGCTGATAGCAGCTTGTGTGTCTCCAGAAATGAGACATTCTGGAAGTAAGATGAAATGACTGGATCCGATTCCTGCATAGCTTCAATGGCAACAGGAACTGACCTCTGGACATGAGTAAACATCTCTTCAAGTACATTTACTCACAGAAGTCCTGGAGCAGAGACTGAAACATAAATTCCCACGCAAAGTCCACTTTTATCAGGCTCCTTCTATGTTTGTAAATACTCAATACTTTTTTTTCTGTATATCAGGGAGCAGACACTAGTGTGGATGATGGAGAAGCAAAGAGTTCAGACAAAGCCAAGGAGGCAGCTACAAAGGTGTTTGGTGCCAATACACCACTTGTTTCCTGCTACTTTGACAGTAGGTTCTTTAACAATTCCATTCTTAAAAATCATGTCTGTTTCTCCCTGGTCTCAAACAGGATCATAGTTCTTTGTGGTTTACATCTAGCTTTCTATACCTTCTGTTATAATTACCATCAGATCATTGATTGAGCCCTATTTACATTCTTAAAAGAAAAATTAGTCACTTGGCGATTTCAGTCCACTGTCACACAGACACCTTTAAAACCTGTCTGAGACATGAATTCTAAAACTAACTATTGCTGCACCTGAGTTTAGGCTATCTTAAATTATGCATTCTTAGCATTGGGGTCTCTCCATGGCAATGCAGGGAGCTAAGCCAACAGAGAAGCTGTATATATTTTTTGTTGTTTTAGCTCACTTAACCAACTGAGTGCAGGGTCAGACAATACCTGACCCAGAGGAGGCAGGACCATGTAGTTGAGTTGGCAAAGTGAACAAAACTGTAGCTTTGCCAGCCTGGATTGGTTTTAAATGCCTTGGAATCACTGTAATGTGATTCACAAAAGCAGGGACACTGAGATGGGAGCCACTAGGGCTAGTTAACAGGAACAGTGGCCAATCCTGAGACTTAAAATCCTTTTTGAGGAGCTCTGACTGGAATACTTGTCTTCATTTGGACTCTGCAGAACTTGATCTCCCTGCAGAGAATGGATGTCTAAATCTTAAATATTTTGGAACCTGAGGAACATTATTGTGGTTTCTTTTTAATATCAATCACAGCTGGGGGAAAGTAGCACCTTTTCCTGCCAGAGTTCAGAGGTTTCAGCTCAGTGAGGCTGTGAGTGGCTCAGATTTTTTTAAGAGCTGAAAGGGTTGGAGCTGATGTCTTTTAAGGAAAAACTGTAGTAACTTAGCCACATGTTGTCCTGGGTTTTGGTCACTCTCATATCTTATTTTTAAGCTATTCCACCTTGCCTGCAATGATGTATATTTTTGTTTAGTCTTTTAGCAAAAGAGACAGTTGCAGTTGGAATCATTTTCTAAAGCTAAAAGCTAGAAATGTGTAACACACAGGTCCCTGGAAGTGCTGTAG